GACCAACTCTTTGTTGTCCAAGCCAAATTATCTATTTAACCTGTAAACTAACAGTTAAATAGATAACCTGCTGTTCAGCAAGTGGCCCAAACTGTCTTACATTCTTAACGGGACTCCCCAGCAAACAATTAGGTTTGATATACATTTGAGAATAATTTTAAATCATGGCCTTTCTCAAAGGTCAAACGTTTGAAAGTGATTTGATATTGATTTACGACTAACCACCCTCACCGAGAGTTAGATAGGGTAAGATCAAGTCACTTCCTGGGTGTGACAAATATTGGCTTAATGCCCACATTCAAGATACAAACTCAGCCTACCTGACAGAATTACTCGAAAAGCCGATTTACCCTTGTGTTGCATTTGCTGCCGCCCCAGGTTTTATTCTGACCATTAGCATCATAATGAAGGTGTTCAAACCGGCATTCAAGTTCTCTCAGTATTCCACAACACTGGCCGCCTTCCCCGGAGGTGGCGGAACAGAGAGTCATAAGGAAAGTACGCGGAGGCAACAATGAAGTGTTTCCACCCGTTTTTCCCCTTGAAGCTCAACCTCGCTGCCCCAAGTCTTGACAGAAGAACTGTGCAAGCTTGGTCAAAGTGAAGTGAGGAGACACTAAAAGCCATGCTCGATCTGACCGAGTTTACGTCGTATAGGATGTTGACACCACGTAACCCACGCGGTTCACAGGGTTTTTGTTTGAACACCCAAGGCTCCTCAATGGTTTTTACAATGGGGGTTTGTATGCACCAGGGTTAGCCTTGGTCACTCATTTAGGATCAATTATGAAAAAAAATTGTCCCGAAAAAGGGACTCAAGCGATTTCCGTACCTTGATCCGAAGGTATCCACAGATCCCCGGTCCATCTTCACAACTAGAGTAGCCCCTTGTCTACCTTCCCGGTTACTATCCGTTTTGTGAGAGGTGACACGCCAGTGCTTGGTGTCAACTCCCGGATTTTGGGCACGGAAGGAGTAAAGGTCTACGGTTTTCAGATCGGGATCTGGAATCCAGCAGAGCGCTTTCTTGAAGGGGTGTATACTCTTCCATATAAATGGTGAGGCCTGTTCCCCCAGTGCATGGTATCCTTTGCACCACAGCCTTGAACTAATCCCAGTTAGCTTGCGAGAGACATTTCACCACAATGGTTCCATTCCTCTCCTCACACCTATGAGCATTGGCTGCAGTACCGGAGGCCCGGAGATCAACCTTCCTCCCAATTACAACAATGAGCGGAGGGCTTTTACGGTTTCACAATAAGTTGGACGGGCCCCTAAACCTCCTGACGTAGGTGGAAGGTTTTGATGATTTGAGGGCATAGCGAGGGCAGTCCTTCCTCGACCGACCCTTTCATTACTTCTACCCTTGGTTTTAGGAATTCGTGGCGATAGAAGTCTGTCTGGCTGATACCGCCTTCTTCTGTCGCTGTCCTCGATTGGGCAATTCCGAACCAATACACGCCCAGGCGCTACACCTCAACTAGTGCCGTCCCAATATGCGGCCGTTAAATTTTTTTGATTAGTTCTAATATTTGTTTATAGTATTTTATTTTGTATTTTAATTAATGTTCTTTTCCTTTGAACTTTAGAATTTCGTTTGTGAGTGTCCGCTGTCTGTCAGATAAGTACTTCCGGCCATGTCGGAAGTGTATGTTTGATTTGAAATGTCATGACTAGGGCTCGGAATCTCATGAAAATACATGTTTTTATTGAGCATCTTCAAACGGAAATGGTTAAGTTTTACTTACGAATCATGAAATTTTCTTTAAAATGGCATTCAACTGGACTGTAGAAGGGAGCTGGCATATGTGGTAACATACCCCATTTTGACTTTTTGTCCCCTTTGCTACGGAAGGTTGCGTACGTCCCCCATTTTCGCCTGAAATCGTTCACTTTTCGCTTAAAATATGTTTGTATTGTTCAACTTTTATAGGCGATTAGTTGAATCAAAAGTTAAACGAGAAATACAATTTTTATTTGAAAATATTCTTTTGTCATATCTAAGGCTGAATATGTATACATATGGTGACGAATACTGCGGCAACTCAAAGCGAACAACAAGAAAACTTGCGAATCAGCAAGCTACACGTTAAGTTGTAAAACAGAGATCGATTGCGTTAGCAAGTTTTGTAAAGTGTTTTAATTGCTTTAACGAGTATTGTAAATTGTTTTTATTGCCTAAACAAGTATTGTAAAGTGTTTGTTGTACAATAAAGTTAATTGTACTGTAATTTGGGATTTTGAGAAATCCGTCAATAATTCAAGGATAATCGTAACAATACGTATATCGTCGTTTCAAGTACAAAACCGTGTATCGTCATTCCGCGAAACCGCGTAATTGACATTTGCTGCCAAAAATTGGATTTGCTCACACAAGCTCTTGGCTCAATCCTTATCCATTCGGCCTGAAATATACTAGCCCGAAATGCAATTGCTTTATAAAAAAGAGAACCATTTTGAAATATGAGTATTTTTACTCTCTAGAAAATAATGTATGCAACCTCACATGCGCGGTTTTGCATTATCCTGATACGCGGTTTTGGATTTTGTTGATACGCGGTTTCATACTTTAAACGACGATATGTATATTTTTTTATGTTCATACACTGGCGTTCAAAAAATTGTTTTAAATGTCTACAATGTTTTTCAAGTTATTTTTTTTGTTATTTTTTTAATAAAAATAATTTGTATGCCTTAACCAAAACCATATACACAAAGGTCTCTTTTTATGCGGTTTTTCAAACCATTTTTTCGCTGTAGCGATTTTGCTTTTTTGACAGTTTTTTTTACTTTTTTTCAGTGAGTAAGAGACAATGCTTCTGATAAATAATTTTTCTTTGCATTCTTACATAATTCATGTATTTATTGTGGTATTTTTTTTGTTTTTGATTAAAATGCAGATAAAATTTTATTTATTTCATTAATGGTTCAGTTTTACATGGAATAATAAGTGTTGCAGTGAAGAAATAAATTGTTTTTTTTTTGCTTAAATTGCCTCACTGGATTATAGGCTTTTAAGATTTTTTTACATGGAGTATCTGAATTTATGCGGTTCTTGAAAATGCTGGAACGCATCTCCTGTTTTTGTATGAAAGTAAAAAACCTTTTTATGCAAATTTTTTTTATGCGCCTTTTTGAGGAACGCATGTACCACATAAAAAATACCTAAGTGTGCTTACATACATCAATCAAACTTACAAATCTAATACAAACTTTAGAAAAATGCAGCAAATTTCCATTCAAAATTAGAACCTTTTAATCTGAATTCTTGGGTATGCAGTTAGATGCCTCATACAATTTAGTAAATTGAGTAAAAGTATTAAACCATGGTTTTTTCATATAAATGCTATTTATAAAAAATGGCGTTAATTGTTTTACCTTTTTTTGCAAACGGTCTTGCGTATTTTCTTTAAATCCATGTTTGTATGGAAAAAATCCATCAGCAAAAAAATAATCAGCCATCAGCATATTCAAAAATTCAGATTAAAAAGTCCAAAATTTTGATAGAAATTTGTTGCGTTTTTCTAGAGTTTGTATTAAGTTTGAAAGTTTGAATTAATTTTACGGTATTGGTTACAGAATGGCGTGGGCCGAAAACCCGTTTTTTTAGAATTTTGATTGGTAATAGCAAAAATATGGTTGATTATGCTTTAAAAAAAATCTGTGTGAAATTTGGAATTTTTTGATCAATATCCTAGGCTCGCCCAAGTCCATCAAAGTTCAATATGCTCAAAAAATAAAAATTAATAAATAAATTAATAAATTTTTTTTTACTAAAATTGCAATAATCTTCGGAAGTATTAGTCCTACATAGTTTGGTATATGGACCTTTTTGTAGAGAACCGAAGTTAGCTAAGAAACAAATTTTTTTAGTACATGAACTTTGATGGACTTGGGCGAGCCTAGGATATTGACAAACATTTTTCACATATCACACAGAATTTTTTTAGAGCATAATGAACCATATTTTTGCTATTACCAATCAAAATTCTAAAAAAGTCGATTTTCGGCCCACGCTATTACAGAATGAAAAATATTTTTATAAAAATAACAAAACATTAACTTCAAAAACATTGTAAATATTTACAATAAAATCACCTCAGTTTTGATCGCCGGTGTAGCTTTGTTTTGTTAAGCGAATAAACCACCTTTTTGTTGGATGCATTTAGTTTTATATGTCCCCCGAAAGATACCACTTATCTTTCTTGGTTATACCCCAAGTCCCTCAATTTTTTATCTGTACCCCTTTCGGCATTTTAGGTCTGGCAACCTCACTCTGTATGGCGTACAGAAATTCATTAAAACCATCAAATGGCTGTAGGTAATACGAGTTGTGGAATCAAAATGGCAAACTTACTGATAGCTTGCCACCACTTAAACCAACCAAACGTTCATCTGAACCACTAATAAACTGTCAATATTTCTATTTACACAAGATTTTGACTGTCTGTTAAATTATAAACTAATTGTATGCCTACATATGTATTGTATTTTGAAGGTAATTGTTGTTCTTATTTTCTTGCTAAAATACATTTGTTATTTATTTTTGTACCGGCAAAAAAATATTAGGAAAATATTTTTAATTACATATTTTACCAATATTTTATAATACGGTACATGAACTTATTTTGGTACATATTATAAAAATAAGACGTTAATTGCTAATATACCGAAAAAAAAAATTTTAGTATAATAGAACCAAAAATTCTTTCAGTACCCCGAATGCAGTTTTTCGAAGTTTGGAAATCAGTTCCAAAAGTTGCTCGAAATGAGAAATAAGTTTGTTATTTGAGTGAAGTTGCTAATATTAAAAGGAAAAGGTTCTTTCAGAAATACAATTAGAGCAATTGCGTCGAAAATTGTAAAATTGGTAAATTGTAAAATTGGTAAATTGAAAATTTTCATAAAATTGTAATAACTTTTGACTTAATTGTAAAATTAATAATACTACTGTTCATGCAATTTATTGAACTACTTGGAAAATATAACCAATAAAAATATCTACATTTTGAAAAGAACAAACCCTTTATTGTAATAAGAAACCTAAAAAATACCACTTTTATCCCTCTACCGCACATGCAGTGCGCAATAGACCCCTCGCCTAACCATTATTTACTCATTTTAAAGACTTCTATAGTTTAAATCCATAAAATAATTTTGTCCGGCTAATTTGTATGGGTCGCGTCGATGTGTGGCGCACGGAACAGCAGTGAGGTCAAGAACCCCGCTCAGCCTAGCAATAGTGCACCGAAGTGCCATGCCCCTACACTCACTGCGGCTCTCAACAATGCAATAGGGGTATTCTCGAAATCTTGCAAAGCCTTTGCATGGATTGCACGGATTGCATAACCTGCAAGCACACAACAAAAAAATACATGGGAAACAGCATTTCCTATCGCTGCAAAGTATGCAACGTCTAAGCCTATGCACATATTTTGCAAAAAAAGCATAGCAAGATAAATTCGACCTTGTGATAGCTGTTTTGTTGTTGGAATTACTGCATATTTCTCTCATTTTGCTCACTTCAATTTTTTGGTGTATCTGTATGAATGGTGAATAGTATTTTTGCATTTCGTGCAATCCGTGCAACGTGCAAGACTTCGAGCACACCTCTAGTATGTTTTGAGTGAATATTATTTGCATACACTATAAGAGGATTTTGCGTGCAAACATTTTATTATATGATGGTTTAGGGCTTAATTAGAAAAGTTATTTTACGAAAAATCAAGAATAGGAGAGTTATGTTTTAAGTCTTTCATGGAAAATCCAAATTTTAAGCTCAAATCATGATGACAGAAAAGGAATTTGAAGAAAACTTGAATGTGCAAAAACTTGTTGGCTAAATCTTGTGGATCCTTTGTATTAGAAGCTTTTTAACAAAATATTAATACATATGTAGAGTTCTCGAAGGCATATAAAGAAAATAAATAAATGTAATCTTCCTTTTGATCTTAAACTAATTTACATATATTCAAAAGTCCATGTCGGGTTCACGTAGACCCTCAGAATAAATTTCTTTGCCAGCTAATTGAAGCATAACTTTATCTTCCAGATTTGTATCCAGTATTGAATTCTTCCCGTCGCCCTGAAAAATTAAGAAAAAGACATTAAGAATATTAATAAACTACATACATTAACATGATCACGTCTAAAAGAAAAAAATACAGTGATTCGTAAAATTGAAATATGTTGGTTGAAGGAGACTCGCTTTTAAGCAAGACCTAAAAAGGGATTTGCAATTTTTGTACGTATGTCTGTCTGTTTGTCTTGGCTAATGTTCAGAGCGCAGTGTAGCTACCTTCCATTCCCGGTATGTGGCGATGATTTCTAAAGATCGTCTTACAGTTCGATTTTAAAACATATCGTCGATGTTTTTGCAAAACCGCCCATCGACCAGTTGCAAACCCGCCTAAATCGCCGTTGTGACAAAAATGAGATTTGGTAACCCTGAACTCCAGGCATCGAGATTTATGCATACAAATCGTTAAATCGTTATTAAAACAACAGATTTGTAAAATAATAGCTAGAGAAAATACCGCGTATCAAGGCAATGCCTTCAAAGAATAAACGGTTTTTTCGCTCTCCTGTAAAATGTAAGTGCCGTAAGATAGGCGGTTTTGCAATTGGGCGATGGGCGGTTTTGCAAAAACATCCACGATATGTATATTGGCCGGAGAAGAGATATTTTAAAAAATCTCATTAATAGTTCCACACAATTTTTCTCCAATTTATCATTCTGTCATCATAACCTTAGAGCTAAAAATGAAAATCTTCTATGGAAGGATTCCAAAGATATCTCGATTATTCTTAATCTTTCGCATGATAACTTTTCTGACTTAGTAGAAAATCATCCTAAGTAAAAAATTTGGACGCAAATCTTTGTGTAATTTTTGAAAAGTAATTTGCTTGAACTTTAAAATCTGCAAAAACCGCGAAAACCCACGTTTTTTGCTAGTTTTTGCGATGAGTCACCATACTTTTTATTCTGACTGTAGTGGTTATTATACTCCAAACAAAATGTCCTCAAAGAGATAATTGCTCAATAACCAACAAGGTTTGCAAAAAGTTACAAAAAGTAAGAAACATATTTTTGGAACAAAACTTAATTTCCAACGCACGGACGCAAGTTCCATTTCATTCTCATGGTCGAAGCCGGAAATATAACGCACTAAACATGTAGGTATTAGCTCACAGCTTGGTATGCACGGGAGTGATAGTCGCAATAATAAGCATGTCGCCGTAAAATAATTGTTTCCAAACTATTATTGGAGTTTTGTGTCGCCGCGAACTGCCCTCAGAAATATAAAAAATCTAACCGTGATCGCGAAAAATACATAAATAAACAATAAGACATTGTGTGTATAAAAATAATAAAACTATTGTTTACATACAAAACTGTAGTTAAGTGAGAGATTAGTGTCGAGGGTGCTCCCCTAAAGGAGCGCAGGCACTCAATGCAAAGCGCAAGCAAAAGAAATGCATATTTAACAATTACTGCATACAGCCTAAAAAGCAAAACCAGCAACAATAACGCTAAAGAAAACTCTTATACTGCTAACACACCATCACAAACAGCAGATGCAGCCAAGCAAAGAGCATCTTCTTGCTCTCCAGCAGTGATCAATGCGGACAACAACGCAGCTGCCGATACTGATGCGTCGACGGCAACAAACGAATAAGAAGAAAAACAAGCAAAAATGCTACTGTTCAGACTGGGTTCGTCTTCTCAACAACTTTTTTATACTTTGACGTAAGTATGGTTATATCTAATTGGCACTATCACTCCTGAACCCACCGAGGTGTGAGCTGAAACCTCCATGTTCACTTCGTTATATTTCCGGCTGCGACCATGATAATGAGATGAAACTTGCGTAAGTGCGTTGGAAACATACACAAGTGGCAAAAATCGTATGGATATTACTTTACGGGGATTTTCACAAGCTTTAAAACGATTATAATAACCACTACAGTCAGAATAAAAAGTATGGTGACTGTTACGGGGCCTGCCAAATAATTGAACTTAAGTCCAACTACTAATAGCTGCAACCCTGCTGGCTAAACACCAACTCATCCAGCTCTCTGTTCTACGAGCATCGTGCCATTTTCGCAGCAGCAGTCGTCACGATAAGTTCAACTTTATATTCAAGCTTAAGAAAGCGCACAAATGTAAGTATGATCAGACTGAAATATGTATGTATATCAATATGTAAAATAATTTAGATTTTCGCTTAAGTCATTTATTTTGCTGTAAATGTTTTTAATAAATAAACCGGATTAGTTCCAAGCATTGAAGTGTAAACTATTGACACGTGCGAGGGCTGGTGCGAAATTATAACCTCTGCGATTATAGTGACGAAAAGCTTCTCTTTAAGGAAATTTTGGATATTTTTCTGGATATCGTCGATCTTCTAAAGATGTTTTCGGCGACCCGCGCTAACATAACCATAAGCAAAACGGAAGAGATAACCTTAAAAGCGACTGTTGGCGCGACAACGTGTGCGCTACCCAGTCCAAATGTTCCACACCTTTCGCCGCATGGTTTTTCGCAAAGTGCTACATCTATAGATGGGTACGAGCAGGCAGGTAACGTGCGCGTGTGAGTAATGTGACTGCAGCAATAGATCTGGGTGCTGAAGGCTCGCAATATGCTGCATCTATAGATGGGAACGCACCGGCGAGGGTAGTTATGTGGCACCTACGAAAATCAGGCAGGGCAATCCTTCAATCGATTCGGTACGAAATTAGCAAGCGCTAAGGCAAGTATTTACACCACCTAATATGGTATCTTCTTGCAGCCAAGATACGCAGCCGCCTCTGTGCAGCAAAAAAACGTGTGCCCAAATATGCAAGGAAAGCTTAACGTCGAAAACCTGCAATCACAACGGACAGCCAATGCAACACTACTCGACTCTCACACCTGCTTTCAGAGAGCACTCTTCAACAAACCGACATATGCGAGCAGTGGAACCACATTTCCCGCTCATTAAGTACCGCCGCCGAAGAAGTAGTCGGATTTCAGCGAGCCCGAAAGAACAACTGGTACGATGAGGAGTGTCAGGAAGCTGCAGAGAAAAAAGAGGCCGCCTACAGAGCCACGCTGCGATCGGGCGCAACGCGAGCTTTGTGTGACTGCTTTAGGGTTATGAAGAGGGAAGCGAGACGTATTAGCCGCAATAAGAAGATAGAGGCCGAAATACGTGAGTGCGAAGAGCTTGAAATGCTGGCCGACAAGAAGAATGCCCGAAAGAGTTACAGAGTTAGGCGACTTACGCAAGATTTCAAGACTATGGCGTACTCCTGTAAAAAAACAATGGCGAGCCAGTTACCGATGTTCAGAGCATACTTAAATTATGGAGGGAACACTTTTACACCCTACTGAATGGTAGCAGCAGGGAACGTTGTGGAGAAAAAGAATCCGAGCCCCCGTCGATGACGACGATGTTCCTCCGCCTGACTATGACGAGGTACGAATAGCACTAACGCGGCTGAAAAACAACAAAGCTGCTGGAGCTGATAGCCTGCCAGCTGAGCTATTCAAGCAGGTGGCGAGAAGTTGATAAGGTACATGCATCAACTCTTATGCGCAATATGAGGATGAACGCATACCGGAAGACAGGAATTTAAGTGTGGATCAGACTTCTAAGCATAGGTTACAAGGTCTTATCGAGCATATCGTGTAAAAGACTGAAGCCCACCGTCAATGAACTGATTGGGCCTTATCAGTGTGGCTTTAGGCCTAGAAAATCCACCATTAGACCAGTTATTCACAATAAGCCAAATTTTGGAAAATATCCGCGAGAAAAGGATCGACACCCACCACCTATTTGTCGACTTTAAAGCCGCTATCGACAGCACTAAAAGGAGTTGCCTATATGCCGCTATGTCTGAATTTGGCATCCCCGCCAAACAGATATGGCTGTCTACAATGATCAATAACACCAGCTCCGTTAGAATTGGGGAAGACCTCTCTCAGCTGTTCGCCACCGAACGGGGTTTCAGAAAGGGCGACTACGTTTCATGTCACTTCTTTAATCAGATGTTGGAGAAGATATTAAGAGCTGCAGAACTGAATCGCTCAGGAAAAATTTACTACAAGGGCGTGCAATTGCTGGCTTATGCCGATGACATCGACACCTTGTTCTTCTTCTTGTTCTTATTTGGCGCTCGAACCGCCTAAGTGATTGTCTGGTGGTAAACGAGGACAAGACGAAGTATCTTCTGTCATCAAACAAACAGTCAGCACATTCGCGTCTTGACATCCACGTCACTGTTGACAGTTATAGTTTCGAGAAAGTAGAGAATTTCGTTCACTTGGGAACCAGCATTTACACTGACAATAATGTCAGCATGGAAATCGATTTTACAAATTGAGGTATCAAATTAAAGGGCTTGGTCTGTAGATGTGCAATAGCTTCTTATTTGTTTAAAAAGAGTTGCCACCTGATAAAAAAATTAAATTCAAATTATTTAATATGTATGTACAGAGTTTCGGTTGAATACAGACGTGTTCTTTATTTGCTTCATAAAAAATCATATTTATCGTGTAACTAATAATACTTAAGCATCGAAAGATACACCAAACTATTATTGGAGTTTTGAGTCGTCGCGAAAAATACATAAATAAACAATAAGACATTGTGTGTATAAAAATAATAAAACTATTGTTTACATACAAAACTGTAGTTAAGTGAGAGATTAGTGTCGAGGGTGCTCCCCTAAAGGAGCGCAGGCACTCAATGCAAAGCGCAAGCAAAAGAAATGCATATTTGACAATTACTGCATACAGCCTAAAAAGCAAAACCAGCAACAATAACGCTAAAGAAAACTCTTACACTGCTAACACACCATCACAAACAGCAGATGCAGCCAAGCAAAGAGCATCTTCTTGCTCTCCAGCAGTGATCAATGCGGACAACAACGCAGCTGCCGATACTAATGCGTCGACGGCAACAAACAAAGAAGAAGAAAAACAAGCAAAAATGCTACTGTTCAGACTGGGTTCGTCTTCTCAACAACTTTTTTATACTTTGACGTAAGTATGGTTATATCTAATTGGGACTATCACTCCTGAACCCA